TACGTATAAGGTCTCTCTCTCTCTCTTCCCCATCAACTACTGTTTGCTCTCTCTCTCTCTCTCTCTCTCTCGCGTAGCTTTGTAATATACGGCGACACAAGCCGCGTACCACTACTGCAGAGAGGAGGCCACCCCCCATTCTTGTGCAGCGTCAACCGTTCCGTTTTCTCGTCGTCGTCGTCGTCGTGTTAAACTTAACTGCACAAGGTCGGTGTACTGTGTTTTCGTCGACGTCTCTTCACTGTACAGTCTTTGTTTTCCTTTCCTCCACCTCCTTCACCTCCTCCTCTTGCTCATCACTCCGAGCTTTCGCGTCGCGCGCGCCTTGTTTCGCAGCTGATGCTTTTCACTTTTTTTTTCTTCCTGCACACTTCCACGCTCTATATAATACAACTGCCTATGTTGTCTATCCCTCTCTCTCTCTCTCTCTCTCTCTTTCTCTCTTTTCATTTGACTGCACTGTACACTGGCAGTACTACTACTACTACTACTGCTGCTGCTGCTGCTGTTGCTGCTCATCGAGCACAGAACCGTCCTATACTTGGTGTGCTACAGACACTTTTCAATAGACGACGACGACGACGACGACGATGCCTTAACGACGGCTCCCCCTTATATACATGTGCGCACCCCCGTCCCGCTTCTCTACTATACTTCTGTAATTAAAATTTTTTTATCCTCGATTGTTTGCGCTTATGTAGCGTTTACTTTTCTTCGGGTAGCGGGCGGCATTCTTCGGCCTCGCATAATATATATATATCAGAGCTTTGCGGGTGGTCGTTTACTGTGTGCAGTGCAGTATAGAAGTATATATCATTCGTGAGTCTCCATCGCTGATTAGCGTCGTTGCGTCGAAATTTTTTCAGAAAAATTACACCCATCGATAATCCCTAGACTGCAACTACAACGAAATTTTGTACCGGGTTTTCAAGCTCTTTGGTGAACGTGCTGAAAATTAATAGTGGCCTAATAAATAAAAACATCATTTTGAATGTTTCACATTACCGTGGACTGATCTGTTTTTGGCTACTTCTTGTTACAATTACGTTAAAATTGCTGAGTGCATTTCGAGGAACTTCAAAATCACAGTTCAATTGTTTCGTCAAAATGTTGACCAGTTTTTGACCACTATGAATACGATTAAACCTTTTTGAGCTTCTACCACTAGATGGCGAGTCCCGACATACCTGTATATCTGCAATCGGTAAAGCAAAAGTAATTGTACAAATCAAAGCATGATGTAAAAACTTTTAATTTCTCTTAATTTTTTTGTCATTTCTCTTTTTAATTTCTCTTTTATAAAGACTAGACTAGATAGACCATAATTAAAGCCAACTTCTATCGCTAGATGGCGAATACCTTTATCCGCAAATCTGCAAGCGGGAAAGTAAAAGTAATTATACATAAAGCTGGACTAGAGTGTTTATGTGATAAGTGTTCGGTCCTAATGACCCTTGCTCGTCGAAATTTTGCGGACGATGTTTGAGGTTGCGATACGAATTAGAGGAGATCGGTACACGAGCAAAGGGTCGGTCGGTCGGTCGACTTTCGGTCGGTGTAAAACCGAGCTAGCTCCGAGGTCGGAAAGTCGCTCGCTCGCGCGCGCTCGACCACTATCCAATCACGCAAGACTGACCATGGGCCAAGCCACGGACACACACAGACACACACACACACACACACAACGGCAACGACGGCGGTGGCTGTCTCGTTATCGTTGTTAAAAATTAGCCCGTCCGAGCATCTCTCTTGGCCGCACATCCCGTATATAATACGATCCGCGAACGAGCTCTGCTCGCGGGGGCATGCCACAGTGGTAGTAGTGGCAGTAGTGGGACATAGAGAAGCCGTCACACATATATACAACAAGCCACGCGCGCAATTTTTCCCCTCCTTGAACAAACTCACCCACGCACACGCACGCACACAAAGGTATACATATATAGAGGGACACGGACAGAAAAGCTCGCAGCGAGCGCAGCGTAGGGCAGCGCACGTATATAGTATATTTCGCGTGCAACGCGGGGGTAAAAAGCAGACATTCGCACCCAGAGAGAGAGAACGAGAGCGAAAGAGAGACAGCAAAAGAGAGCTAGCTCCCACCAGAGAGACTGAAAATGACTTTTACCAGGTAGTGGGGTTGAACGCGGCAGCCGTGGTGTATATATAGCTTTCCGACGGCGCACCAGCAGCAACATTTTCCCATTTCGTTCGTTCTCTCTTTCTCTCCGACTCGCTGGCTGGCTGGCTGCGCGACCGATGCGCGGCATCGTAGAGCATCCAGCTTCTGCCCCGAAGTGGAGGAGGAGGAGGAGGAGGCGGAGGAAGCTCCGTAGGTGAAAAAGAAGAGGAGGAAGGGGTTGCCGTTGCCGCCGCTGCTGCTGCTGCTGCTGCTTGCTGCTGGTGGTAGCCGCGGCGGCGGTGGTTGGTGGCACACGGGCGGCCTCAAAAATACACCGCAACCACACCACAGCGCGAGGCCGCAGAAGCCGCGGCTCCGGCGCCGGCCGAACCTTATATATACCTCTCCCGATATCACCGCACTCTTTGCACGAGCGGCTCTCTGCTGCTGCTGCTACTCTCGGCCTTTCTGCGGCTTTTTGGTGAACGCCGACTGCTACTACAGTCGCTTACCGATCTCTCCGCGTAAATACACTATCGCGAGTGAATTGGTATAAAAACTAATTTTGGTGCTTAGTGAATTTTTTTTTTTGTAGTCTTTTCGGTGGAACTTTGAACGTCGTTTTATTTTTGAAAGTGCGCGAGAGACATTGACGAATATATTACAGTGCGACTGTCGTGTACGGGTAGTTAACCGATCGGTGACTCGCAAGTATATAGCTCTGCTCTTCGCCAGCTCGACACAGAGAGAGAGTGACTTGCGGTATTATATTATTTCGACGATATCAACAAGTGCGTGCGTGTTCGTGTCTGTGTGCTCGCAAACGTGTGTTTCTGTGCGTCGTGCTATCAAGTGATATATAACTTGTTTTAACTCGATGCGCTAGTGAATATAGTCTACTTCACACCCTTCGGTAGGTAGTCTCGACGCGAGACATATGTTTCACAACGCACACAAGTGTTTTACGATAATATTTGCAAAAATTTCGAAGCGTTTGTATTCTTCGCGATTGATGCGCGCGATCGAAAATCTCGATAAAAGTCACGTCGTGGGGTATAGAGGATTATTCTCATTGAATGCCATACAAAGCGCGTGTATACAAAAAAAAAAGGCAATTCGCTTGCCTCGGATATCGACGACAAACCAGTCGCAAAGACGCGAGCTCGAATAAAACGAATTTTGCCTCGTACAACTTGGCAATCGAGCCTCCTCCGCAACCGGGAAGAAAAGGAAAAAAAAGGAAAGGAAAGAGAGAGAGAAAAGAAAGCCAATGGTGCGGTGCACGGCGGGGTGGATGCGTGGGATGCGGGGGGATATACAACAGACGAACAACACAACCGACATCATCAAATTTGCCATCGAATCCGTTCCAGCGGGATAATGAAATAAGGATCAAAGGGAGAGAAACAGCCGATACTGGCTGCTGCTTAAAACAAGGCAAAGCAGCTCTCTCTCTCTCTTCGCGTGCGGCATATATTGAAATCTAGCTCTGGCGGGGAATCCCTTTTTCTCGGGGTCTTAGTCTTATACGCGCGGGGAGGTATATAGGAAAAAAACAAATCCCATTTCGTAAGATTTGTGTCTTTGTAGTGGATTCCTTTTTTTTTTTTCATTTGTTACTCTCCCGAATTCGTAGGAGCGCTAAGCAGGAGATTGATACTCGTCGAATTTCACAGACTATCAATAAGATCGTTTAGCTTCCTTGTAGAAATGTTCAACGTTGTATGGCTAATTTTTGGCGAGATGAAAAGCTGTTTGGACGTAAAAGGGTCAACAGAGCTGAACACGTGAACACACAATAGAATAATCCACGGTGTAACGTATTTTTCGATACTTTATTTTCATACGACGCTTCAGGGTTTTTTTCATATTTAATGACCATTTTTTACTTCGAAATTTTGTGCCAATTGCCATTTAAATACACTTTCAACAGTTATTTTTAATTTTATAAAAATCAAATACAGAATGCCATCAGACATTTAGATTTATAGAGAATTGTAATATATCATGATTTTTTACTTTTCTACTTGCGGATTGACAGATAAAAGTACTCGCCATCTAGTGGTAGAAGCTTACAGTCGTATTATCGTATTCAATGTGATTGAGAACAAGCCTAAATTTTTTAAAAGAATCAAATGGATATTATCAGGCTATTTCGAATGTGTTGAATATTTATAACATAACTGTAATATAAAAATGGTTAGAAACAAACCAATCAATGGTACTTTCAATCGTACTTTGAAACACTTTAAATGGCTATTTTTTGACCATCTAGTCTTCATTTATGTCAAGAAATGTTGTGTAGAAAAATTCCTATTGAAAATTATGAAACGGTGTGATTAGGAATAGCGAAATTTTGTAAAGGTATAAAAGTGAATCTATGGTATAAAAAAATCAACGAAAGTCATTTAAAATACCGTTATCTTATTTCAAAGAAATATATCCAAAGAAATTAATCATCTTTACGCTTTAACAAAAACTAACGCAATTTTATTCACCCCCTGTTTATCACGTAGATCCAACTCTCGGAGCACTGCTGCTAGGCTAAAATTCAACAAATATAAATAAAAAGAAGCCGCGGCGAAGAGCTATGCCGTCGGCCGTGGGACGACGCGCAGCAGCAGCAGCAGCAACAGCACTGTTGCTCACGGACGCCTCCAACAACCGATGACCGCACCGATGAGCTCCTAAGGCCCCTCGAATGACGAATCCTGCGCGCGATGTACGCGGTGGCGTAGCGGTGGAAAACTACGTGGATCCGTCGCGGCTCCTGCATCAACAGCAGCAACAGGCGGCTGGTCCAACCAGTGTCAGTAGTAGTAGTGCAGCTCATCTCCAATCGCGACACCATCACCAACATCATCACCAAAATCCTCATCATCATCATCATCATCATCATCACAACACTCATCATCAGTCTCATTACCACCATCACCACAATCAAGGCAATCGGCTGAGACGTTCGCGCTCGGGCCGACGGGGTGGTGGTGGTGGTGGTGCATCGTCGTCTTCGAACAACAGTAGTATGCATTTGTCGGCCGAGAAAGGTCAACAGAGCGGCACGACCGGCGGTGGCGGCGGCGGCAACGGGAGCAGCAGCAGCGCATCGGCAGCCGTCGCCGGGGCCACGTCCAACAGCGCCGCGACCCCCACGAGCAGCCAGTCGGACTATGCCCTCACGGCCGATCTGCTGGCCGAGAGGACCCTCGACGGACTCCTGGCCGAGCATCCCGGCGAGCTCATACGCACCGGTGAGTCGACGCTGCTGTCCATTATTATCGTGCTCTTTAACGTTGACGCGCGATACATTAACGGGTATTGAATGTCGTTATCGCGCTCGCAGCTCTCGGCCGCGCGCGTTTTGAAAATAGCTGTCGCTATAATACACGCGCTATATACGCACGGCAAAGCGATAATTTTTAATGAATCGAATATTCGGCCCCCAAAAACGTTCGAAGCTGCTGCTTTTGCGCGAAAACGCAAAACTCGAATATCTCGAGCGAGTGCAAATAGCGCATTCGCCGCTGCGCAAATACAATATATCATCATCGCGCGCGCGACCCACCGAACGATGCTTTGAAAATTCGTAATAAGTTATGCGCGGCGCTCTCTCTCTGCATAATATATACAGCCGAGGCAGAGTAACAATCGAACTCATATTTAAGCCTATCGAATGACCGAAGAGCCGGTGTACTGCAGGCGGCAGCGGCGTAGTACGACGCGCGCGCGCTCGCGACAATGCAACAAACGTGTGTGTGTGTGTATTTATTCCAATCGGTCGCAGAAAGTGCAAACACTCGAGCGAGCAAGAGAGAGAGAGGCAGAAAAATCAATATTATAAACGTGTCCTGGCAGTCGCTCATACTCTACTACTCGTCGCTCTCGTGTACACGCGCATGTATATATGCGAGCATCGACGCTCACACACTCCATATCGCACATTAGCGGTTTGATTTTGAGGCGGGCTTTGGCTCTCTCTGGCTCACTCGTGTCACATATGTATATAAAATATATACAATATATGCTCTGATTTCAAACTCGCGATTCAATGCCGCGAGGCAGTCAGGCAGGCAGGGGCAGAGGGACAGAGGCGCGCGCGCTAATGTGCTCGGCCAATTTATCTACTAGTACCTATAATGACGCACGTGTATTTCGGCGTGCGCGCGGCCCGAGTTCTATACTCGATACACTCGAATATAGAAATTTTCGTCGAAACGTAAATGAGCGTATATGTTCGCACTGGTACGAGTTACGTCATTAAATTTCACGTATATTTTGCAAATAAACCAGACTCGAACTAATTAATGCACTTTTGGCGGTATATACCTTTACTCATATACCAATAATAATATTTGTAATAAGAAAAAAAACTCGAATAACGAATCGTTATCGCCAGGTTCTCCGCACGTAGTGTGCACCGTGCTGCCGTCGCACTGGCGCTCGAACAAGACCCTGCCGGTGGCGTTCAAGGTGGTGGCGCTGGGCGAGGTCGGCGACGGCACCCTGGTCACGGTGCGCGCCGGCAACGACGAGAACTACTGCGCCGAGCTGCGCAACGCCACGGCCCTGATGAAGAATCAGGTGGCGAAATTCAACGATCTCAGGTTCGTCGGCAGGAGCGGTCGAGGTGAGTCGCAGAGCTTTTTTTTTTTTTTGTATTTTTGATCGCGACGAGAAATGTTTGCTCGCGCGCGAGTATGTAAATATAGGATTCTCTTAATATTTTTCGAACGTAGCAGTAGTAGTATATAGCAGCAGTGGCAGAGTTGAATGATTTATCAAGGCTGTGAGAGCAGGAAAAAAAATAAGTTGAGAGATCAGAGATGGATGTATAAAAAGCTCCGAGACATTAAGGTGCGGAAAGTGTACACGCACAGCTCGCGTAGAGAGAGAGAGAGTCTTTATTCGGCCTCATTTTTAATTCACTCCTCAAATAAGCGCAGCAGCAGAGAGTAGTTCCCAATTTTTTCTCTGGCTCTCTACCATTCATCTTTTTCTTCGTCTGCTGCTGCCGCTGCTGCCGCCGTCTCTTCTGGTGGTGCTCATAGGTCTATTGCCATATACTAAGGGGATATTTTTAATTCGCCGCGTCTCGACGTCAATAATTCAGCCCAACGAAAGTTCGGGCTTTCCGCTGTACGCTATACCCCGAGTGTATATACGCGTACAGATATATCAAGGATGCGCCGCTTCTCATTACACGTTCGAATGTGCAGGAGAAAAAATGGCTCGGCAAATACTGCGCGAGCGCCGATACATATTATACTACACTACAGCTGCTCTCGCGTAGGCGGGTGGGGGCGGGGGACGAGCTTCTTCTCTCTCAGCGCTATTAAAGCACTGATTTTTTTCTCTCCAAAGCTCGGCTTCGAGGGCTGTGCCGTATGTATGCCTTAAAACTACACGGCCGAGCGAGTTTTTTTTTCTTTTTTTTTAAATTCCAAGTTTTCTTTGGAGGAAAACACTTGTGGGAATACTTCATTAGCTTTATTATGCCTCGAGGGTTCGACGCGCGCACATACATACACACACACACAGAACGAGGCTCGGGTGAAAAAGTTTGTCTGCGGGGCGAGCATTTTTTTTTTTTTTGCGTTATACCCGAAAGCTATTTCCTTCCTTAATGACGCGGTATAGGGATTCTTATGAAAACTTATTAAAATAAGTACTGTGCCCCGCTTCATCGAGCTCGCGATAAAATTAATTTATAGATCAATGACTGGATTTTCGTAATAACGAATGCTTGTTTTGAAAAATTGAAAGAAAAACGTACACGCAAATCCTTTTTCTTCCTTCTCTTTTACTCGCCCGGTATAAAGCGAAGAAAAAAATCAAGCTAAAAACGCGAAAAAGAAATCAAAAGATAATGACAACGCCGAGGATAGGTATAAGCTTAAAAGGCGAAGTCGGAGCACTTGAGTTTAATCGTTCCCAAGCCCGGGGTATAAAAATGCATTTTTCTACTGCTACACATCCAGTGTAGCGGCAGCGGCGGCAGTCGTGGCAATTTTTTTCCTTTCTCTCTTTCTCTCTCTCTCTCTCTCTCTCTCGTGCAGCAGCAGTCTTTGTAACGGATCATCCCCACTCTCGGGGATAAATATATATATATCGCTCCCCCCTTCCTCCCCCACAGCCTCCTTATCGCAGCACAGTCGTAGTCGTCGTCGTAGCTCCCGGAAACTCACCCTCTGGCCGCGCGTCATACAAGCGCACAGCAGCAGCAGCAGCAGAGAAGCGAGGCAAAAGATCGGAAAAAGTTTTTCTCTCTCTCTCTCTCTCTCTCTCTCTCTCTCTCTGGGTACAGAAGGCAAGAAGTAAAACGCGAGAGAGCGAGGAGTCACGGACTGGCGTGTCTATACAGATATATCCTATACATATATACACTTATATAGATATGGGGCTGTATAAGGCGCGCGTCGTCGCGTAACGAGCGGCCTGCCGACTTGTTTATGGCAAATTGGAAAAGGAAATTACGAGGTTTGCGATCACGCCTCTCCTCTCCCTGTCTTTTTTTTTTTTTTGCTTCTTCAGTTTCTTCCTTTTTTTTTTACGCCACTTATTCGTGCGACTCGACGACGTCCTCCCCCTGCGCGCACATTTATATTTATACACGCGTAATGTTGAGAAAGAATTCGGTGTATAGCTCAGGCACACGACGGGCTTCCTTAGTTATAAACATCGCGCGCACTTCCGTGTACGCGTTCTTTTTTTTTACCCAAGGCTGTGTGTGACTGTTATATACGAAATAACATTAGCTCGTTTAGATAAAAGCTCGAAAAAAATTTAAAACCCGGTCGATCGAAACTCGGCGATCGGCGCGATCGTTGCAGCAGCAGCAGCAGCAGCAGAGGGGGGTAGAGCAGGTAGGAAACAAGAGAATCCACTCGGACCCGAAAGCCGCCTTAGAGCGTCTAAATCTAAAAATGCAACTAATGCTCCCCGGCGTTTTTCTTTTCTTTTTTTTTTGTTTTTCGTGACACGCGAAAAAAACAGCTCGCGATTTCGCGCGAGCTGCCGAAAGAACAACGACAAGCACCGTGGCAATTTTCCCCCGATAAATCAGACAGAACAGCCACGCGCAAAGCACATACTATCGCTGGACTGGTCTACTATATACTCGGCCTCGAAATCTCGCCACTCGTCGAAAAAGCTCATGCTGCTCTCCTGCAGCGGCGGCGAATAAAATATACACACACACTCACACACGTATATATATAAGAGATGCGACTGCTCGTCACATGTGTGTGTGTGCAATCCACACACCCACGCATGCAGCTGATACTGATCTGTGCATACGTGTACGTGTGTGTGCGTGGGTGTCCGTATGTAATGGAGGCCCATGCGGATAGAGTGGTCGGGGCGCGTAAGCGGCTTTGGTTTCCATGGCAGTAAGCCCTCATTATTGCATTACGGGTCCTGCTGCGATTCTTTGACGAGAGGCGATATATACATACATAGGTGGCGTGTATATATACGTATGCAGCGTATGTGTGTGTGTGCACGCGCATACACATAAAACATAGGAGCAAGCTGACAATCGACGGTCGTGTACCTTATAAACGTGCTTTTGTTGCAATCCTCGGGCCGTTGTGTTGGTTGTTTTTTTTTTTTTGCTTCTTTTTATTTTTTCGTTGCCGTTCGAGAGTATTTTTTCCCGGTGCCGTGTAGTGTGTATACTGCTACTGCATCCCGTGCTGCGAACAACGGCGTACCGCGTCCACCGGGGGGTGGCGCGCCGAAGGAAAGAGAAAAATCGGGTCTTTCGGAGATTATCTTGTGCCGTACTTTCTTCAATTAATCGCACGCGTTTTAAGCTAGACGATAAATCGATACAATTTTATTAGCTACTATGAATATTTTTACCTTCCATTAGATTATTTTGATATTCAGTGTAGTGGCTATGAAGGTGGCACCTTATTTTAATGTATTTATTATCAATGGCGGGAAGTAAATCGCTCGCTGTGTATGTAAGCGTGCCACTTTGTCCGACTAGCAACAGTCGTCTCTGCTGCGTATGACGGAGCGAACTGCACATCGTACTCCGACTCTGCGCCGCACGAACACCCGAGAGTAAGGCCTACACTGAAAAAATTTTGCACTGAATTCGTGTTCACCTGTGGTCTTTTATTGATATCACACTATAGTGTCTTAACTTTATATTCACCAGTTAACTTGAAGAAAGTTCACGGATACGGTGACAGGAATTTAGGTTCACGGTGAACGCGATTATCAAGCACTTCATGTTGTCGGGGCGATTGGACTATATTGGACTATAACTTGTAAAAAGTTCACGACGATGGTGACAGGGATTTAGGTTCACGGTGAACGCGATTATCAAGCACTTTTTGTTGTCGATTCGACGATTGGACTATATTTAAGTAAAATCTTACATAAACGAGCCTATTTTCTTTATAATATTCGAAAATATTGTAAAAACTTTGTTATTTAAAAAAAAAAGATTTATAAAATATTGCAGTAAAATAGTCGTGATTTATTGTACTTATCAATATTATTTACAAAGGTAACAAAAATATCGCTTATCAGTTATGCCTAGTAA